TGATTCCATTTGGGTGATAGTTGACAGAGTTACTAAGTCTTCTCACTTTTTGGCATTCAAGACTACAGATTCGGTGGAGGACTACGCCAAGTTTTTCATTAATGAGGTAGTTAGGTTGCATGGGGTTCCTTTGTCTATAATCTCAGATAGAGGTCCTTAGTTTACCTCTCATTTTTGGAAGTCATTTCAGAAAGGTCTTGGTACTCAGGTTAATCTTAGCACAGCATTTCACCCACAGACGGATGGTCAGGCAGACCGTATCATTCAGACCTTAGAAGACATGTTGAGAGCTTGTGTGATCGACTTCAAGGGTAGTTGGGATGATCACCTTTCTCTTATTGAGTTCGCCTATAATAATAAGTACCATTCCAGCATTCAGATGGCCCCTTATGAGGTATTGTATCGGCGTAGATGAAGACCTCATATTGGTTGGTTTAAAGTAGGTGAAGCAACCTTGATAGGACCAGATTCAGTCCATGATGTTATGGAGAAGGTGCAACTCATCAAAGATAGACTTAAGACTGCCCAGAGTCGCCAGAAGTCTTATGCAGATGTAAGGAGAAGGGAACTAGAGTTCCAAGCCAATGAGTGGGTTTACCTGAAGGTGTCACCTATGAAAGGGGTGACAAGATTTGGCAAAAAAAGGAAGCTCAGTCCTAGTTATATAGGCCCTTACAAGATTCTGAAAAGGATTGGTAAAGAGGCTTATGAGTTAGAGTTACCAGCAAAATTAGCAGCAGTGCATCCTGTTTTCCACATCTCAGTTTTGAAGAAGTGTATGGGTGATCTAGGATTCGTGGTGCTATTAGAGAGTGTGGCCATGAAAGATAGTCTTTCTTATGAGGATGTACCAGTTAAGATTCTTGATCGTCAAGTTAGAAGGTTGAGAAACAAAGAAGTCGCTTCAGTCAAGGTTTTGTGGAGGAGTCAGTCCATAGAGAGAGCTACTTGGAAACCAGAAGCAGCCATGAAGTCCAAGTACCCTCACCTATTTCCTTCCGATTCCACTCCAGCTTGAGGTAATAGTTCATCATCAGTTTTTCTGTCATTCTTGCTCATATTCAGTCTTAGTATTACGTTCCTTCAGTTAGTACTTGCATTTTCAGTGTATTTGCATGTTCTTGGAACTCCGTTCAGTCAGAAAATCAGTTTACACTGCTTAGTAGTAGGGTTTGCAGCTCTTACCCTCCCTATTCAGCTAGTTTAGTCTTCATTCGAGGACAAATGTTCCCAAGGGGGTGATAATGAAACACCCCAGATTCGAGAAAGGAAAAAAATACCAGATTTTCAGAAGTTGCAGGTGCCACCGACGGTCGACTAGTACGGACCGTCAGTCAGCTCCGTCGATGGGCCAGTCAACTTTCAATTCTCAGTCGCGAACGACGATTGACCAGTACGGACCGTCAGTCGACTCACGGCCCGTCAATCAGCTCCGTCAGTGACTCCGACAGCTTTTAAGTCAGGGGTCTTTTGGTCTTTTCCTTATTCGTTTGGCCCCTAAACTATGTCGTTTAGACCCTAAATTATGATGTTTTAGTCAGTTTAAGCCTAGAAACATAACTAGAACTTACCTTAGTCAAAGTTATTAATCAAAACTTAGAAAATTAGAGCTTGAGAGGAGAAAAGAAGTCAAGAACCCTAGTTCAAGAACGCAACAAGATTCCATCAGTTCCAGCCCTGAAATCAAAAGATTTCTCCGTGGAATTTGTCACCAGGTATGTGGGATTTCACTAGTGGGTTCCTTTCGCCCATTAGGTACCTAGATTTCAGTCAGATTCGCCCATTAGGTCCCTAGATTTCAGTCAGATTCTTGATTCCCTTATCATGACTAGACCTAAGGTTTCTAGAACTTCAGTAGATTTTCATGAATTAGTTATTTACATGTTCCAAATCAGATTATCATGTTATTACTTCGTCTTTTGCATGAATTTCAGAACCCTAGCTATGTATTTCTTTAGTTCTTGAATTACACATGCTAGGTCGGATATTTCAGTTATTTCAGATATACATGCCTCAGTTTTGAATATATCATTATCAGTTATTAATGTGCATTCTCAGTTTGCATTTCTGTTTGAGCTATCCAGTATAATACAGAAAGTCAGTCATAATGTGTTAATCACTTATTCTATTGGGAGTAGCATAATACCGAGTTGGACTAGGGTTCAGCGTACCTGAATAGTCCCAGTATTACGAGCCACGTAGGTTGTAAGTCCCCTCTATGGGCATCATTTTAGGGATCACGCCAGCATGCCTCTATACCTTTGGAAGGGTATATTGGGTCTTTTCGATGGGGCGTATACATCGGACTCCACATTTAACTCATGTGGTTTTATTATCGATTATTAGTAGCTCCCACAGTTCAGTACAGTCAGTATTTAGTCTTAGCATGTTATAAAATGGTCATTGCATTCAATTAGCTCAGTGTTCAGTATTTATATCATGTTCAGATTACAGTTTTACTCATTTGCTTGTTCAGTTATATGTTTATTTCAGCTTTACTCTATCATGAATGCTTAGTACCTTTCACGTACTGACGAATACATTGCGCTACATCTTCTTGTGATGTAGGTTCAGATTCTCAGCATCCAGACCACGTTTAGATCGATTCTCGATCTCCAGTTCAGCAGCATCAGTGGTGAGTCTTTATTCTTCGAGGACAACAGTCATGTTATCTTTTCATTATTTCAGTCTTTAGTTTCAGTTTTGCTAGACTTAGCTGGGGCATGTCCCAGCACTTCTTGTCAGTTAGAGGCTATTTTCAGACATAGTTAGATTCAGCTTAGTATTTGAGTTTGATGTTCTTTTGTATTAAACTCTCAGATTTGATATTCAGTTTTAGTATATGGGTATTCCACATCTTTTCAGATTTACTTATTATTAACTTCCGCAACAGTTTTATTTCTCAGTGTATCTTTAGTATGCTCATGATTATGCCAGCAGGGTTAGCTTGGAGTCACTTGTGATCCTAGGTCACGTGTCTGCGTCTCGGGGGTAGCTTGGGGCGTGACACATCCATACCAATATCCTCATTTCCTTGACTTGCATCTTCTGCACATAAGAGTTTTTGACTGGCCATCACTCCACCCCATACAACAATGCCAATCTAACTGCTACTTTTTGGAACTTACCTTTTAGTTTAAGTGGTACATTCTTATCACAGAAGTCTCCATAGGAAAGCCTCCACTTCATCCATACAACACTAATACAATGATTGACATCATCATCAATGTCCCAACTTCCCTAGATCACCAAACAAAGATACTTGAAACTATATCTCTTACGAAATAACTTAGGTTTCAAGCCTCACTTTCATGCCAGCCTCATGCACTCTTACACTTCAAATATTTTGGTTTGGCCTTGGTTAACTTAAACCCTTTAGACTCCAGAGTTTGTCTCATCACCTCCAACTTAGCATTAACTCCATCACTTGTCTTATCAATTAGTATTATGTCAATCGAGCATACACCATGACACCTCATCTTGGATACACTACGTCAATTCTTCCATCACCAAGGTAAATAGGAACGAGACAACTGATCCTTGGTGTAACCCCATCTCAACTACGAATTTCTCAAAGTCTACTCCTATCGTTCTAACCGAGTCTTGGATCCATTATACATGTCCTTATTACCCTAATGTAAGTCACCAGTACATATTTAGCTTCCAGGCATCTCAAAAGGATATCCCTCAAAACTTTTTCATAAGCTTTTTCAAGGACAATGAACATTATATGTAAGTCCTTCTTCTTTTCCCTATATCTCTCCATCAGTCTCCTTACCAAATGGATGCTTCTAGAGTCAACCACCTGACATAAAATTCAATTGGTTCTCAGAAACGGGCATGCCCCTCTTTACCATCATCTCTATCACCATATTTTAAATTTTCATAGTATGACTTAGAACCTTGATGCCTTTGTAATTGTTACAATTTTGGATATCACTCTTGTTCTTGTACAACAATACCATTGTACTCCACCTCCATTCTTTGGGATTTTTTGTCATTTTAAAATTGACATTAAACAACCTAGTCAACCACTCTATGCCTATTTTGTTTTTTCTCTTCCGAAACTCCACTAGAATCTCATCTAGTCTGGACACTCCTCCCTTGCTCATTATATAAATGGCACACTTAACCTCATCAACCTTAATACACCTACAACACCCAATATCTTGATGCCTTTTAGAGTGCTCCAAATCCCCCAACATAATATCTATATCTCCTTCTTCATTCAAAAGTTTATGAAAATATGTTTGCCATCTTTGCCTAATGAGGTTGTCTTTCACCAAAATCATGTCATCTTCATCCTTGATTCACTTCACTTGATCAAGGTATCAAGCCTTCCCCTCTCTCTCTAACCTTTGCGAGCATGTATAATTTTTTATCTCTATCTTTATATATGTGTGTGTGTGTGTGTGTGTGTCTGTTTGTGTGTGTGTATGTGTGTTTGTGTGTGTGTGTGCAAAAAGGTGTCTTTTAACCATCGTAATCGCTAGCTTAGCCTTCATCTTTGTCTCCTTATATATTGCCTTATTCTTCCACTTATCCTATGCATCCTTGGAGTCCACCAATTTTACATAAGTATCCTTCATCGCTTCCATTTTACCCTGGACTTCTCTATTCCATCATGAATCCCCTCGATGATCATGTTACCCCTGGCCACCCCTAGAACTTCTCTAGTTGTTTCTTGAATGCAACTAGTTGTGTTATCCCAAATTTGGGCGTAATAGAACTCGTCTTATCCCACCAAGACAAGTCAGCCTAAGACCCCAAATAACACGATAAATGTTAAAGTAAATCAAAAATAAAAGTCTAACACCATAAAGAAATGTGGAAATCATAATCAATTTAAATAAACCCCCAAAATCAAGTTGTCACACGTACAAACCTCTAATGTATTATAATAGAAATAAAGTAAATACAAGTCTCAATGTCATTGTTTCTAGAATAGAACAAGTCCATATAAATGAGTAAGAAATTATGCGGATAAACCAAGTAACTACCTCTCAACTCTCCACAATAAGCCTCGAACGAACTAGGGGAGAATAATCACAAAGATCCAGGCTCATAACCTACACAAGTGTAGCAACAAGGAGTGAGTTTTAAACAACACGGTACTCAGTAAGCAAACCACTAAACACAAAGGACAACAGTATAATGTATGGGTACTCCAAACACTCCAATCGAACCTCTACAATTACAACCTGCCCAGAATCAACCAGCCTAGAAGTTCATAATTAATACATTAACACGAATATCAACCCTTCAATGCATACAACTCATTAACACAAGGTTCATAAGCTTTAAGCACAATTCCCAACACAAACAACACAAGGTTCACGAAAATACTAATGTGCAATGCAATAAGATGAAATGTCAAATATAGTGATGCATGTCTGTCCTACAATACACATCTGTTGAATATCAGGTAGAACCCATGGGTGAATTAGAAGGTCCACGTATTCGTCGAAACTATTTCCCTTCGGCATATCTCACTCGCTGAAACCATTTTCCTTCGGCGCCATCGAAACCATTTCCCTTCGGCATCATCATCACAATATTTTAGAACTAATGCAAATAGGCATGTTCACACAAATCATGAGAATATGATGTATTTCATATCAATACACACACCGAATCAACACAATCATGATACAACCCCAATTGTGAATTAATGCAAACATCCAAATTATCCACAACACTTTACGCGTCCATATCATCAAGTTACTTTTTTATTACCCTCTTTCTAAACTATAATTATTCATTATGAGTAGGTCAATTCCATCACCAAATCTCATTACTCCCCAACACATATTATAACGAAATACAAGATTATATATACTTAACAAATGTTAAGAGGTTCACTTGCCTCAAACAATTACTCCGGGACTTGAGCTTTTCGTTTTTATTGGGTCTCCAAATCAATGCAATCTATTCAAATAAGTAATCCCAGTAAGAAATCAAATTTAACAACACCCATATCAAGACTTATGGAAAATGGGGTCAAATCGACTCAAAAAACTTGATTCCAAAAATAAGGTTTGAATCTGGAAAACTTATATGAAATTGCATTACCCAAGAAAGTTGGAAACCACTGGTGAAAACCATTTCGAAAAGAGAGTTGAATTCAATCTAAAAAAACAATTTTATCCAAAACCTTTAACTTTTAAAAAACATTCAAATTTTAGACTCAAAACCCAAGTTTAATCCTCAAAATATTATTAATGGGTAAAAGAGATAGAAAGTTAGAAGTTGTTACCCAATCTAAGAAACTCGAAAATCCCTTTAGAAATCATCTAAACCGAGCTACAAGGGTTCAACAATGGGAGAAAAGGGAAGAAATCCAAATTTTCTAAAGAAAACAATGTTCATACATCAATTACTCTCGCGATCAAAACCTAAGGCCTCATGAGCGCGATGAGTAAACAAGTCAACTCATTAAAGTTGACCATTGCGATTGCAACTGGACACACGCGATCACGATGACCAAGAAATTCACTATTTGTGATCTTGACAACCCTACACATGATCGTGAGGGCCACACAAACAACGCTACATGATCAAGAGATTGCCTCACAATTGCAATGAACAACTAATCAGACACTAGAGATCAGAAACCAGCAATTCACACAATGAATAAAATCACCGAATGGACCCTCAGGATTCGTTTAGAACCCTGAGTACACAAACCAGATATGCTACCCAACTAAACTCAACGTTTCAGACTCAATGCAACCATCGAAACACGAATTCGAAGTCTCATTGATCCAAAACCCAGGAAAATCGCATTAAACTAACTTAACTCTCAAAAAGATCAATCTAACATCGGGGCCTTTAAAAAATCAACCAAGATCTCTTCCAAGTCTAAAATCATCCCCCAAATCCATTGGAACCATCAAAAATCTAATTCGAGCCACCAAATTCCAAACATTGACAAAAGTCAACCCTTGTTCATAAATCACCCAAACTTCCAACTCAAAATCTCAAATCCACAAAACAACCTCGACTCTGAAATTGACAACTCTCCTCGATCAAATTTGACATTTCAGAACTGATGGAACTAACGAAATTCCATTACGAGACTCAAAAATCCGATTGATACCAAAAACCACTTTTAAACACTTTACACCTTCCAAAAATCATCGCTCAATAGTATTTCCAAACCAACTTCAGAAACTGAATAGAAATGACTCAGGGTAACTATCAGAAGGGTTAAAATGGTATTTTTTATGAAAATATCCAAAAATGACCTACGGGTCATTACACATATATAGTTTGCATCCCGACTATACCTCCAAGCCTCCATCATTAGCAACTTCTCCCCCATCATACGAGTGAGAATCCACCCCATCTAATCCTTGTTTTTCATATACTATCTTCTTCCCTCTCTCTCGCTTAATTTCCAGGTCCATCACCAAAAGCTTATGTTGGATAGTATGATTATCACTCGGGTTAACCTTGCAGTCCTTACAAAGGCCTTTATCACCCTTCTTGAGGAGTAAATAATCTATCTGGGTTTTGGCCACTGTGCTACAGAAGGTAACCAAATGGTTCTCTATCTTTGTAAAGTACGAGTTATCTACCACCAACTCAAAATATTTAGCAAAACCTAAGAGTGAGGCTCAACTTGGGTTTCAATCCCCAAAACTACAACCTCCATGCACGTCGCCACAACAACTAGATGTTGCCCCAATATGGCCATTGAAATTTCCACCAATGAATATCTTCTCAGTGCGTTAAACTCCTCACAACCTCATTCAAATCCTCCCAAAAGTGTTTCTTGACCTCCTTGTCCAAGCCCACTTGAGGCACGTAAGCACTTATAATGTTCTAATTAAACCTTTCAATGACTAGCTCAATCATCATCATCTTATAATGGTCAGCAGTCCTCCTAAACTCCACCACTTGATCCCTTAAGTCTCAATCTACTAAAATACCTACTTCATTTCTATCCCATGAGCCCCCTGAGTACCACAACTTACAGTCCACATCTCGTGCCTTGACACCTACTCATCTAATCTCCTGGATATAAGTTATATTAATCTTCCTTTTCTTTAGGATCTTCACTAGATCTATGAATTTCCCCGTCAATGACCCTATGTTCTAAGACCCTAACCTTAAACCAGAGGACCTCTTACCCCCACTTACCACTCCTACCCCTCACCCCTCCTCCCAATCAAGGACATACCTAGTCCAACATTGTTCACCAAAGTCACTAAAATAGATGCAACCTAAACAGGGAATAACTAAAGTAAGGGAGCTATATCAAAATTAAAGGCCAAGAATTAGAAGCAGTAAGCAACAATCAACAAAAAAAAAATAAAGCAAATGCACCAAAAAGCACCAATCAACAAGAAATAGAGCATAAATTCAGCACAATCTATAAGATTAAAACCTCAACCATCAGCACATGAATTTTAGGTAGAACAAGAAAGATAACAACCCACGAAAGATTTTCTGAAAAATCACTACTCAAAATGATAAATAAAGAGAAGAATATGAACGATTGAACCTGGCTGGTGGTGAGGAGAACTGGACATCATCAGGAGTCCCTACAGTTTTGTTCTTTGCTATATAGATCTGGCCAGACAACAGTGGTCTCACCAGAGAGGGTGAAGGGAAAGGAAATTTACGTTCCCACAGAATCATTAGATACTTTAATTCATGTTATTATTTTACAATAGAAATCATTTCATTTCCTTAGCAATATTCCTTCCTGTTGGTGTGAATATTATGTGAATATTGATCTGCTCAATAACGCAGACAAGAAGTACAAAGAGTACTGGGCCTGCACATACAGATCCAGATATCTTATCAGTTATTTGGTCTTTTGGGCCTCAGTTGGTTAACGATCTCAGCCAACAGTGGGCTGAAGTATTATAAACTAACCTACTTCTACAAGTTAACTACAAATAGGACAATACATATAACGTTAGGATTAGTTACATGTTAGGAGTCTTTTTCCTTGCTGTTGGTAAACTGTTAGGAGTCTTTCTTTTGCTGTATATATACAAGGCATTGTACAATTGAAAACATCGATCAAATATATAAGAAAAGTTCTACTGTTAGGAGTCTTTCTTTTGCTGTATATATACAAGGCATTGTACAATTGAAAACGATCAATCAAATACATAAGAAAAGTTCCGCATATATCTTTTGTTTTCTTACATGGTATCAGAGCAGGTTTGAATACCTCTCAATCATTCTTTTTATTGTGTTATTTTGTTTTCACAATGAGCACTGATTCACAGGCTAGTAGTCAGTCCACTCCAGCTCTTCCTTCCAGTACCGCTGGACTTTTTCCTTCTACTAATCCCACTGGATCTACCATGACTAATGTAATGGATCAAACACATCCCTTTTATCTCCATCCATCAGACTATCCAGGTATGACTCTCGTTTCTTCTGTCTTTGATGGCAAGGCTTATGGAGCATGGAGAAGAGCAATAGTGATAGCACTTTCGGCAAAGAACAAGTTGGGATTCATTGATGGATCCTTGTTAGTTTCCAACACTGATCCTTTGCTTCAAAAAACATGGGCCAGATGCAATGATATGGTCCTCTCATGGCTCCTGAATTCTCTTTCCAAGGAAATAGCTGAGAGTGTGTTATATTCTCATACTGCAAAAGATCTTTGGAAAGACTTGGAAGACAGATTTGGTGTGACCAATGGAGCAAAACTGTTTCAGCTACAGAAAGAATTAAGTGCAGTTAGTCAAGGTAATTCTAGTGTATCAACTTATTTCACAAAAATGAAGAGTTTGTGGGATGAGTTAGATGCACTAAACACTTACTCTTCTTGTATTTGTGAGTGTGAATGTGGTGCTAAAATAAAGAATACCAAAGCTCATCAGGACGAAAGATTGTTGCAGTTTTTGATGGGTTTAAATGACACTTTTGTTGGGGTCAGAAGTAATGTTCTGTTGTCGGCTCCTTTGCCTAACATTGGGCAGGCCTACTCTCTTGTTATCCAAGATGAAAAACAAAGGGAAATACATGCTACACCTACTTATCCAGGTGATTCAGGATCTTTCATAGTTGCTAATTCAGGAGAAAGGAAGTACCCCGATCTTAAGGCACAAAAAGAAGGTAACTCAGGCTATGATGGAAAGAAGAGCAATGTGATATGTGCCTACTATAAGACGCCAGGTCACAATGTGGATAAGTGCTACAAGATCCATGGTTTTCCTGCTGATTTTAAATTCACAAAACCTAGAAAATTTCAAAGCACATCGCAGGGAAGTACAGCTTTCAACTCAAGTGTTTACAATCAAAGTGAAGGATTTACTCAAAGATACACCAATGCTCCAGAAGTCCAAGCTCTCAGTCAGGAGAACATAACACAAATATTGCAAATGCTTCAGCAGATGAAATCAAATAAAAATGCAGGAGGATTTGAAGGAGCAGCAAATCTCAGTCTTTCTGGTATGCCCAAGTTGTTCAATTCTTATGCCTGTTTTATTGAAATTGATAGTAATTCTTGGATATTAGATACTGGAGCAACTGAGCATATGACCTATAATAGGGAATTCCTTTCAAATGTTAAAGCTCTTCCTAAACCTGTCATGGTAAACTTGCCTAATTCCTATAGAGTCAAGGTTACTCATGCAGGAACAGTCACACTAATGTCTAATATGATTCTGCACAACGTTTTATATATACCTTCTTTCAGATTTAATCTGATATCTGTGCATAAGTTTTGTGCTCAACTCAGGCATTCCCTTCTTTTTACTCCCTATTCTTGTTTTTTATTTCAGGGCCCTTCTCTGAAGAGCCCTCTGGAGATTGGTAAGGAGCAAGGGGGACTCTATATCCTTAACACAAGACAATCAACAACAGTTCCTTCAAGCCAATTCAAGCCAGTTCAAGTTTTCAATTCGAGCAAGAAGTCTAGTTCTAGTTTAGCTACAAATTCTAGTTTAAATTCTAAGAAATCTGTTTCAAATGCAATTTTTAATTCATGTTTCAGTTCTTCATCTTCAAATGTAACAGAAAAACTATGGCATATTAGATTAGGACATATGCCTTTGAGCAATATGAGAAATATTTCTGTTATCTCTTTTCCAGTATCTTCTAAAAATTTGACTCCTTGTGTTGTTTGTCCCATGGCGAGACAATCTAAACTCCCTTTCCCGTCTAGCACAATATCTAGTAAATCAATTTTTGAGTTAATTCATGTGGATACATGGGGACCTTATAAACATGCTACTAATCATGGCTTTAAGTATTTTCTCACAATAGTTGATGATTTTAGCAGAGGTACTTGGACCTACTTGCTAAGTTCTAAATCTAATGCCTTCACCATTTTGAAATCCTTCCTTACCATGGTAGAACGACAATTTGACAAGAAAGTAAAGAAAATCAGGTCAGACAATGCTTTTGAATTGGGAAGTGGGAAAACACATTCAGAATTTTTCCAATCCTTAGGTATTATCCATCAAACAACTTGTGTGTCCACCCCACAACAAAATGGAATTGTTGAGCGAAAACATAAACACTTACTGGAAACTTCCAGGGCTCTATTGTATCAGTCTCACCTTCCTATTCACTATTGGGGAGACTGTCTTTTGACAGCAACGTATTTAATTAATAGATTTCCCTCCAAAGTCATAAATCTCAAAACACCATATGAGATACTTTTCAACACCAAACCACAATATTCTCATCTTAGAAGTTTTGGTTGTTTGTGTTTTGTTTCTACCCTTTCAAATAAAAGAAGTAAGTTTGATCCAAGGGCGGTTCCTTGTGTGTTTTTGGGGTATCCAGACGGCAAAAAGGGCTACAAAGTTCTCAGTCTTAAATCTCTACAGTGTTTTGTGTCACGGGATGTTGTCTTTCATGAGTCAGTTTTTCCTTTTTCCTCTATCAAGTCCTATGTTCCTACCGATTCCTTATTTCCTACTGCTAACCAACACACGCTGGCATATCCTTTTTTTGATGTCTTCTCATTACTTGTGGATGATCTTGTCTCTTCAAATGATCCCATCATACAATCTACACATTCTCCAACTATAGCTCCTGATTCTTCGCCTCAACCAAAGCCTACTTCACCTATTCCCTCTATTAGCTCTTCACAACCTACTATGGTTGATGTCATAAGGCAATCCAATAGACCACGCAAGACACCTTCCTACCTACAAGATTACATCTGCAATGCTCTGCAGTTGACTGATGTCCACAATTCTTATTTTCTTCCATCCGTCACACCTGAGTCTTTTCCCTTTAGTGGTTTGTCCTCTACCAACCAAAATATGCTCAACTCTTTATCTAATATTCAAGAACCTATTAGTTTTTCATAGGCTGTTCATCATCCTGGGTGGCAGGCAGCTATGGAATCAGAAATTCAGGCTCTAGAATTAAACAAAACATGGGATGTAGTAGAACTACCCCCGATCGGAAAGCTCTGCCGTGTAAGTGGGTTTACAAGGTTAAGCAACACTCTGACGGCAGTATTGAGAGACTGAAAGCTCGATTGGTGATACGAGGTGATATACAAAGAGAGGGAATCGACTTTAATGAGACCTTCTCTCCGGTGGTAAAAATGACTACCATCAGATGCATTTTTGCTACAGCAGTAAAGAAGGGTTGGGGCCTCTATCGATTGGACGTGAATAATGCTTGTTTACATGGAGACTTAGATGAGGAAGTCTACATGAAATTTCCAGCAGGCATCACTCCTCCTTCGCCTAAACACGTCTGTAAAGTTTGAATAGGTCGCTCTATGGACTTCGTCAAGCATCGAGACAGTGGTATGCTAAACTCACATCTGCCTTAAACTTTAAAGGATTCAGGCATTCATTAAATGATTATTCTCTTTTTGTAAAGAAATCGGACTCTTCCATTTTCGATTGTGGCTATATACGTTGATGATATCGTTTTAACAGGGAATGATCAGGCAGAACTACATGCTTTGAAGATCTTCCTTGATCAAGAATTCAAAATAAAAGATTTGGGAAACTTACATTTTTTTCTTGGAATGGAAGTACTTCGTGAATCACATGGTTTGATGCTCTGCCAGAGGAAATTCACCCTCGACTTGCTCAAGGAATTTGATATTCTAGACCTATCTCCTGTGTCTTCTCCTTTAGACCCAACTGTCAAACTAGTTGCTCAAGAAGGCGATCCAATTGATGATCCTACTTTGTATCGACATCTTTTGGGCAAGCTAAACTACCTCACACACACTAGACCAGATCTCTCCTTTACCGTACAACACTTGAGTCAGTACATGCAGGACCCCAGGAAACCCCATCTCAATGCTGCTCTTAGAGTCCTTCGCTACCTTTTGAAAGACCCTGGACTTGGCCTTTTCCTGTCACCTTCTTCTTCATTTGAACTACGAGCCTTCTGCGATTCTGATTGGGGAACATGCCCTGATACTCGCCGATCTGTCAGCGGTTTCTACATTTCATTAGGGACTTCTCCTATTTCTTGGAAATCAAAGAAGCAGACATCCATTTCTCTTAGCTCCGCTGAGGCAGAGTATAGGTCCATGAGACGGGTAGTTGCCGAACTCACTTGGCTTGTTCGCCTCTTTGACGATATCTCCATCCCTATTTCACTCCCCATTCCACTACACTCTGATAGCCAGGCGGCAATTCATATAGCAAAAAATCCTGTCTTCCACGAACGTACAAAACACGTTGAAATTGATTGTCATTTTGCTCGCCAACAGTTCCTCGCAGGACTCATTTCACTTTCTCACATTCGATCTTCATCCCAACCAGCTGATTTGTTCACTAAATCATTGTCTCGACCTCTGCATCACACCTTATTGAGCAAGTTGGGTGTATTCTCATCTCCTCCAACTTGAGGAAGGGTGTTGGTGTGAATATTATGTGAATATTGATCTACTCAATAACGTAGACAAGAAGTACAAAGAGTACTGGGCCTGCACAAACAGATCTAGATATCTTATCGGTTATTTGGTCTTTTGGGCCTCAGGTGGTTAACGATCTCAGCCAACAGTGGGCTGAAGTATTATAAACTAACCTACTTCTACAAGTTAACTACAAATAGGACAATACATATAATGTTAGGATTAGTTACATGTTAGGAGTCTTTTCCTTGCTGTTCGTAAACTGTTAGGAGTCTTTCTCTTGCTGTATATATACAAGGCATTGTACAATTGAAAACATCGACCAAATATATAAGAAAAGTTCCGCATATATCTTTTGTTTTCTTACACTTCCTAAGTTAGAGGAAAATCCTGAGAACAAGAATTTGCAAGATATGTAAGCAATGCTATAAAATAAAGATCGTGTACTGAAATTAAAAAGAGTAGAGAAAGAGAAAGACATAAAGTAGTAGTAGTAATAACTTTTTTTCTATTATTTTGGTGTGTCTTTCATCTAAAACACAAGGCCCGCGTTCAAACTTGGGAATCTAGACATGCTATCAAACTTGAAAATCTAGAACATGCTACAGTATATGTGGGCCATCGAACACCCACATCCACTAATTGTTTACAACATTCCCTCTTAGATGTCTATTTAAAAAGAAGAAAAAAAAGATGTAGTCTGTTATTTGTAATATGCATTGTTCGAAGCCTCATTACCAGAAAAATTCAGTGACTTGATTAAGGAAAAAAGAATGCATCATGTATTTACTTCCCTTGATGAAAAATATCACTTAATGATTAACAAGTCACTTTGTTGCTTACGGATGAATATGGTCATTTTATGATTCTTTAACTTGCAATTAAGTTAGGAGGTGAAAAGGTTGTAAAAATATTTTGATTAACCAATTTAAAATCTTTTATATAAATAATAATAATGTCATTGAGAGTCTTTTCCACTGCTCTACTGAATATGCGTACAAAATATAACATATATCTCATATATTTTGATATTTAAGCTAAATTAATTTTAAATGGTCAACCCAAATTCAATGAATACTACTACTAATAAATAAGATTGAACATGAAAATAAAACCACGTCTCTTCATCTGCTATGATTATTTCTGCATTTTATGATCTTTCCATCTTCTCTCCTTCTCCTAATTTTGTTGCTGAAACCCTCTACACCCTCCTTCCACTTTTAATTGTCATGGTTTTCTTTTTTAGAGTCGAACTATAAAAAAATTGGCTAACATTTTACGATATATTTTTTCATCATATTGATATGCAAGAAATTGTAATTTATATTATTTTTCATATAGTTTTTGAATATCTAATTTTTTTTTTGTTTAATATATTGAATTAATGTAATCTAATTTAACTTTAAAAATTAGTCAAATTGACTTTTGAAAAGTGCAATATGGCAAATAAAAGTGGACGG